GCAAGCTAGCATTAGGGAGGAAGGTTAGGAAGAAGAGGACTGCAAGGAGAGCGAGGAGCGCTAGGTACGCGAGGAAAACGCAGGCCGCGATCTCCATGGTTGACCTCTCGCCGTAGTCGCTGGTCGCCATTATTCGCGGATGGCTGCTGCTGCTCCTATGGCGTGTAAGGAGGGGGGTAGCAGTAAAGGCTGGGAATGCGGGAGCCGGCAGAGGTGGGAGAGCGCGAGAAGGGGGGAGAGAGAGAGAAAGGGAGAGCGGGAGAGAGCGGGGGGGTGTGTGTGTGAACGCGCGAGAGAGAGAGGGAGAGAGAGATATGCGGCGAGAGCACGGGCGCTGGAGGGGGGGAGGGGGGGAGGGGTTGCGAGAGTAGCATGTGCGGACGGTGGGTTATGCTATCAGGTCGTGCAGGAGGAGCGCTGCTACGATGAGCGCAATCGTGCAAACCGCGCTGAGGGCAGCGAAGAAGAATGCTGTGGCGTAGATGAGAGCAGAGAAGCGGCGCGAGCTTGCGAGCATCATGCATTCGGTCCTACAGGCCCAACAGAGCAGCGCGCCGATGAGGACGTTGGGCACGAGCGCTAGACACAGGGCAATAGCACAGAGCAGAGCGAGGAGCGCAAGCTTGTCCAGTCCAGTGGGCTTCATGGCGATGCGGCTACAGTACCCCTTCCTGAGTGCCGATGAAGTCCTCCTCGCTGTCTGGATCGAAGTGGAAGTCCATCTCCGAGCCTATGCCCGTCCCACTGCCACTCGGTACAAAACAATGCCGAGGCAGTCTTCGCAGAAAAACCCGATGCGAAATCCTCGGTCAGGCGTCTCAACAGAAAACCGGTCATCGACTGCTCCAGATGGCCTTGTGCGAACTGCTTGGAAGTACCCTTTGTGGCCAAGCTATCCTGCTTAAGTACCGCTCGATCTGCTGGTCCGATCGGGCCTGAAGTTTTACTGCTGGCGCCAAGTCTGGAATGCTAGAAGTGTTCGGCCGCAGTATCTTCGTGACTTGAGTAAAGATTGAATGTAGCCGTACCTAGCCGCCTGGTTCAGAGAAATCCTAAACTAGCACCTGCCCCTGGTCCATAACCCGTCACATCATACCCCTCAGAAAACGACGAAATGCAGAAGTGCGGGGAAAAGCGGAGGCGTCAAACAAGGAAAAGAGTAAACAAAAATGAAAAAAGAACCAGAAAGAAGAAAAGAAACCGAAAAGAAATCGAGAAACAAAACAAAGAAAAAAGAGAGAGAGCAGAAAGTGCTTGCCCCTGGTCCGTAACCCATCACATCATTCCCTTCGGAAAATGACGAAATGAAGAAGTGCGGGAAAAAAGGGGGGAGGCGTCAACAAGGAACCGAGTAAAAAAAACGAAAAAGAAAAAGAAAAAGAAAAAGAAAAAGAAAAGGAACCAGAAGGAAGAAGACAAGAAAAACAGAAAAAAAGAGAGAAGAAGAAAAAAAGAAAAAAAGAGAAGAAAAAAGGAAGAAGAAAAAAAGGAAAAAGACAAGGAAAAAGAAACAAAGGGAAAAAGGAAAAGAAAAAGAGAGAGAGAGAAGGACGACGGAACAAATGTGTGCGTGCGCGGCGCACAGAGTGTACCCTATATTACGTGAGGCAGAGTACGGGATCGAATCCTACGCAACTGTCAGAGAGCTACTTCTTCTTATTACTGGGACCCTCAGAGGCTTGTCCCGTCATCTCGAGTCCTCCCAAGCTATTACCTGAGTGGCGTGTGGAGACGCCCTACGCCTTATTACGCAGGCCCGATCAGGGGCTCGAAACCCAACAGTCCCATTGTGCCTAGTGAATGGTTAATTCTACTTATTAGTAGGATCCATCGAGGTAGCGCCCGTCATCAACCTCCTTTCAATGCTTGAGCAGTCTTCAGAGTCCCTCAGCTTCCTTCTGACCTGGATATGCGTGTGTGTGTGTGTGTGTGTGTGTGTGTGTGTGTGTGTGTGTGTGTGTGTGTGTGTAGGTCTTGGTAAGTGTTTTATAGAATCACCTAAAATCAACACCAGATCCCCCCAGTAGCCTTGAGCGATGACAAGATGGGCAGAGCAAGGCTGGTCATGTTGATGAGGTTGACTAGATTCCCCTGAAAGTTGCAAACACACACACACGGTGTCCATTCAATCCCCCGCGGCCCCTTGTGATACAGTTCGGAGTCACCAGTTGAGATAATTGGCTTGGGGCTACTGGCTGGTTGCAGAAGAATCTGCGCTTTCCAGCTTGAGCCAGGTGTTAGGAGGCTGGGATCCACTCATAGAGCAGAGTCGGGTAGAAGGCTGGGATCCACTACGGAGAATGTCGGGAGGCTGGAAATCCAACCCATAACCCTTAGTGTCCCATGCTGAGAAGGTGTATATATGTGAGGACAAATTGAGAGAAAAAAATATATAGCTGTCCCCCGATGCCGAGAAGACAGCTTTTTAAAAACAATACAAGAATGGAAAGATCAAGGCATCCACGTTGATGAAGTTGAGCACTGGGTGCCCACACAGCCGTCTGCCAGACTCTGCCTGAAAGCCATGATTTGTGAGGGAAAGAGAGATGTGAGGGTGTGTGCCTGTGTGTGTGTGTGTGTTTGTCATATTCGCTATATACAACTTGACAGTCAGAAAAGCCTTTTCACACCAACCATATATATAAAAAACACACAGGCATAGCACTGGGTGCCCACACAGCCGTCTGCCAGACTCTGCCTGAAAGCCACAATTTGCGAGGGAAAGAGAGATGTGAGGGTGTGTGTGATAGAAAAGGCTTTTCACACCAATCGTACATATAACTGACTGGACTGGACATTCATTGACTCATCAGGAGGTCGAACCCCAACTGTCCGCCCAAGGATGCATTCGACTGATGGATAAGGACTCACCACATCGCCCAGAGTTAGCGATACCCCTGAGAAAAGTGGTTGACTACTACTCACACCAACCGTACAATCCTAGCAGGCAGGCAGGCAGTCCAAACCCTGACAAGAATGGAAGTAAGTCTGTCAATCTCTCTCTCTCTCTCTCTCTCTCTCTCTCTCTCTCTCTCTCTCTCTCTCTCTCTCTCTCTCTCTCTCTCTCTCTC